CATTTTGTACTAGCTGAAGCCTTGGGTTAGTCTCCAAGGGGCACCCCACGTAGTGTATGTAGTCCAATCTGGAGGGGACTAAAGCGTGAGTGAATGTAAACAGAGTCTGCTGATCCAGGAGTGGCACACAAGAAGGAGCTGTATAAAGGACTTCCTAGCCATGACTGCAATCTGCATATCGAGCTGAAGTCGAACAGAGTAATTAAGGAATAGCACGTGAGGAGGAGGCTTCCAGGTGCTTCTCATAACATTTAAAATGGACCCAGAACCAGAAACCTTGGTGTGTTTGAGACAGATATGACTGTCTCATATAGTGTGAGGTCCGTTATTTGGTGGTATCAAATGTTATTGAGTGGTAGCATGTTTGCCTGGATCAGCTGCTAGGACCTGGGGCAATGGTGAAGCAATGTTTCACTGGCAGTGATGAGAGCAGCTGTTACTTACTGCTTGGTGATGGCAACAATCAAGATACACTGGCCTTGGTGTTCCAAATAAAGAGTGAGTGGATGTTGCTAAGCAGCAGCAGTAAGTAGGAGTAGGCAGTATCTGAGTATGGGCCTGAATCCTGTGCCTGCAATGGAATCCATCGACCTGGGCAACAATTGCAGTAACTTGCCTCTCCCATATTTTATGAAGACTGCAAGCAAGCCAACAAATTGCTACTTAGTGCAATCACGGAAAGTATTTTTTTGTTGTGTACAGTAGAGGAATCTCTAGCTGACAGAATTAGAATGTTAAATTATTGTTTGAAAATATCATGGTGGATGTTTTCTGGACTGGAACAGAGATGGAGGGAGGCAATTGTGTCACTCTCGAATCGCCCCATAGTATAGAGAGTCCTTGGTGGCTCTCTGAGTTTGGTTGTTTGTTTGTCTCTACCTTTTAGTGCTGAATTCGTGCATCATTCAAACAAATCTTACCAAAGATTTGTACATAAGTAATGTCGTATTAACAGTTTTATTCTTCATTTTTCTTAGTGATATCTGACATGGAATATTTTTTTTCATAGGGATATTATTTTCACTGAGCTGTTTATTACTACTTCATCAAACACTTGGAGTAACACGTAATTATAATTTTTTGCACTGTACAATGTACACCTACTGAACAGTTTTTATAATGTTAGCATTCAATAATATTCTACATCTTCTATTTTCATCTTTGAAAAGATTATGGAACAGAACAAGCAAACTACACTTCAAAAAAGACAGCAAAGCATGTTATTTATAACCTAATTAAATTGGAAACACTTACCGATGCCTTCCATTCATTTCCAATCCAACCACAGGGCAAATAAAACGTGCACTTTGGATGTCAGCATATTTATCCCCTTTTGTATTACCCTTGTCACCAGTCCAAGCTGGATTGTCTGAGAGATTCAATTCTATGACATTCTGCAAGAAATGAACCATACTTTACGTAACTTGATTTGACACTGTGATAAAGGAAGTATAATCTAAATTGGAAGACAACAGTAGTGTATGAAAAATACAAATATTCTAGAAAGAAATATATTTGGCCATAGGGGTAGATGCAAGCAGGCAGTTTCTGGTGATAAAAGCATTTTTCCTGAATTATGTTAAACAACACCAATGGACCTTTGTAAGTTTAAAAGCATGAGGGAAGGATAAAATCTTCCTTCTTATAGGAAGAATTGTGGCAGTGTTTAGGCATAAGAATCAAAAAGGAGGCAGTATAGGTAAAAAGAAGCAGTCTAACAGCATATATTTATGTCACAGAAGCAAAAAAGAAACATGTTGATGTTTGGTTTTGGAAAAAAATGCATTTCACATATCCCCAATTTTTTTTTTTAAAAAAAACATATTGTGCAAATTTAAATTTACCGACGAATAAATACATTTGCTGGTAAATTTAAATTTGCACAATATGTTTTTTTTAAAAAAAA